GCATAAGTGCATGGATTAGCGCAGCATCATTGAAGGGGGTACGGACCAGACACGTCCGCATACAAACTCAGTTTTGACTCAAGCAACATACATAGTAGTGACACCGGCCTAGCATGATCCATGCCTAATGAACACAGCCTCAGCCTAAGATGTCATGAATATGTCATTTATGATTCTATTCCGTATTATTTTTTTCTATGCCAGACAAACAACAGGTTTTGCTGATTACATCTGTGCAGCCAAACGAATAAACTTCATCAATAAGTTAAAACGAAAGTACAGTATTTTCTGATCAACGTACAAATAGTGTGCCATTTCCTGTTTGCTATTTCTTCTTGTACTCCAGCTTTACCACTTTCATCGTATCGTCAATTAAGTGATAGACGTAAACAAAGACCACTCCAGACTGTACGTCGAGAATGGCAAAAGACGGGGTGACTTTTCTACAAAAACAAAAACATACAAATCAGTAAAACAACGATTGACTGAGCTACATCAAACTCAAATAAAGTTTTGTTTCCTGATCAAGTTGCACAAAGCAAAACGATAGAAAGGATGACAGCAGGTTTGTTTGCTTACGTGGTCTTGACAGTCCTGTACAGCCATAGTCAACAAACAGTCTGTTAATAAGATTTTGACAATCATGTGATTGGCATGCCGATGTATCAGCAGGCGTATACTCCTCTATAAAACCAGCAATCAAGAAATATCCTTTGCTCTTCTAGTTGCCTACTCACAGTTTCATAGGATTTGATTTAAGCATCAGTGTCTCCGTTGACTGGCGTTAGTCAGTGGGGTGCTGGGACAATGAGTAAGAGGTCGACTTTGAACTCAGGAGGTGCTGGGTTCGATTCTGACAGATGGGAGCCTTTGTGCCTTAATCACAAACTGCCATCAGTAAAAAATTTATCATATGCTGAACGATACAGGAGTTCCTCAGTGGGTAGAGCGTAGGAATCAGAGCTACGACATGTCCGGGCTTGAGAACTGGTCTTAGTTACTCGTCTTTCTTCCTTCTGAAGATGATAAATACGTACAATTCGATATAAAGGTAACGGGAAATTATACAATACGCTTGCCACATAGCTACTCTAGACTCTACTTTAAATAACGCACTCCTGGATGATGGCACATGAAAATAGAGATCAGCGCCCTCCCCCCTCCATCAAATTGTCAGAAGGGCGCCAGGACTGCCTGATCATAAAAGTGTAACGAAGGCTGACATTCCAAACAAACTTTCCTTTCCTTTTCCCTGCCTGCCATTAGTTTATAATACACCGTCTTACTTGTCCAAAGCGCTGAACGCGCCGGTGATTGAACCAGGATTTATGAAAAAATATCCCTCGTGCTCGAAGGCTTCGAATTTGTGCGTGTGACCCGTAACGACGATATCGGCATCCAACTGACGTCGCAGAAGAGCGAGCACCTGCAGATCTCCCCATGGAACGAGTTGGTGCCCGTGGCACAGACCAATACGAAAATCGCCAACCGTCACCACCTTTGTATCTTGATAGCTTAGATCCTAGAAATCACGGTATAAATAAATTAATCTACATAAGCATATAGGATTTCAGAGTCGCTCCTTATTCAGACCAAGTGTTACGATACAAAGTAGTTCGACTGATGTGATTAGGATACCAGAAGAGAAACTGACAAAGTCATAATAATGCCATACTGAAGGGCACCAAGGATACAGACAGATCGAGAACGGTGGCTCAATCATATGAATGTATGAATGAATGGAAGACCCCTTTAACAATAATTACATTATGAAAAAGTGGATCTCATTGAAATAGGAGATCGGACTAACAGTTTTACAGTGGTCTACCTGGCAGCATATAAAATCGATTTTAATTAGCTTTCGTCAAGTTCGGATCCGAACAAGTCAAATACACCAGCTTGACTGAAGCAGAGAACCGCTTTCATACTTCATATTGGTCAGTACTTGAGAAGTTTTGGACAATACAAACTTTGACACAGCAATTATATAAATCCTTTGTAGAAGCTGAATCACACATTATTAAACAAACAAGCAAGAAAGTACAAATTAAAATTCGAAACTCAAAATAAACATGATATTTAAGAATGAACAGCAAAGCTAAATATACAACTGAACAGCACAATCTTCAAGTAAAAAATATCCATCACTTCCGACATAAACATATTTGCATACATGGAATACTCGTAATTCCATTACCTCATCGAAGTCGCCTCTAACGACATGAACATCACTGGCGATGGACTTCAGATAATCGTAAGTTTCCTTGGTGCATAAATTGCCGGTACAGAGGATGTGCTGAATCTTGTTCGGAAGCAGGATGCTCCGAAACTTCGCGGGTACATCATGGCACCGATGTGGAATATGGAAATCACCCAATAACAACACAAGCTGCATAAGGAGAATAAAAACTCAAACCGTAAAAATATCAGTTTAATGTCGTGAGAAGCGCGATACCACAAAAATGAGGCAAAACTTTTATGGCAAAACTGTAAGATAGCAGCTGTAACTGGTCACAGAAATTAATACAGTATTATACATCAGCAGGTATGATGCAAACCAGTTCTATGTTTTCTGTTGTCTTTTTTTAGTTAATGCGATTCGAATGAAACGGAAGGGTGGCAGGGCTGCACAGCCCATATTGATTTCTGAAGAACGCACAGAAAAATCATTTAATCAATTACCCTTTGAATAAAAGACTACGATTTCTTAAAGAAACAAATGGAAGAATCTAGCGATGTTTGATGGATATATATCTAAACCATATAATTCAAAAGCAAATTATGTAGTAAGTTACCAAGAGGAGAAAAAATTGATTTGAAAATATATATTTTGGTAATCTATTAAAATAAATGAACGCTTTTCATTCATTAATTTAAAAACTTAGAATGAATTAAAAAGTGTACGGACAGTCAGTCAATGTCGACCACCGTTCATTCTTTCGGGAGGCGCAGGCAAAAATGTCAGACAGTGTGTCCAAAGTAGTCTATTCAATCTGCTAAAGGCTTGTTTCTTTATATTATCTGATTGAACGTTAACCTTTTCAGGTTACTTTCCAGTTATCTTTTATCGAATTTTGGTTGTCATCTTAACTCCGCCATGGCCGGTCCCAAGCCCGGACGAGAAAGGAGCAGGGTTGC